ACGTAAGTGATTTCTGGGCAAATGGGTGAGCCACTAGCTGAACTGCCAATGATAGCTTTCTGTTCCTGCTCAGGTGGGTCACTTTTTCTTTTTTTTTAAGATTTTATTTATTTATTTGACAGGGAGAGATACAGCGAGAGAGGGAACACAAGCAGGGGGAGTGGGAGAGGGAGAAGCAGGCTTCCTGCGGAGCAGGGAGCCCAATGTGGGGCTCGATCCCAGGACTCTGAGATCATGACCTGAGCCGAAGGCAGACGCTTAACAACTGAGCCACCCAGGCGCCCCAAGACTGTCCTCTATTGTAATCATGACTTTAAAGAATATTTCCCTTCCCAAGGCAAGAGATGGGTTATGTTCACTGTTATTTATAAACCCTAAGGTTTATTTAAAGTAGAGGTTAGCAAACTGGGAGCTGCCCTCAGCTTCTGTCTGTGCAGAAAACACTTCCTGAAGGCTCAAGCTTGTGGTGGTTGATACGTTAAGCAGTTGTGTGTGTGTTTTTCCCCCACCCTAGGAAATTCCTGGAATAACCCTTGTGACGGAAGAGATCCCATTGCCTTTCATGAAGGTAAGTCCTTCCAGGGAGAAACAAAAGCACACCGTGCATGGCTTCCTTGCTGGCCTCCACACTCAGCTGGAGTTCCAACTCTGCTGCCCCAAGTATGATGGTGGTTCCCAAAGGGCTTGTAGAGAAAGGGGGAGATTGGAGCTAAGGGGTAGGGTAGGGTTAGTTCTCTAGAAAATCCTTCCTAAGGGGTTGAGTCATCACTGAGGATGATATTATGGCAATTCTCAGGAATACTCTTTGGAGAGGGACGTTTTCTCAAGATGGAGAATTATGGGGCTCAACCTAAACCACATAGAACTCGTCTTTTCCACTGCGCCTCAAACTAGTCCACACTGGAGGAGTTCTTATAGATTGTCCTTAGAGGACCTAGTAGCTGCTTCTTACTTCATTTGTGCCCCCTCCACATGCACACACGCACGCACGCACAAATACACACACACAGTCTTAACCTCATTAAGTAACCTGGGCTTGGACTATCTAATTTCCTTCTGGTTCTAAGAACAGCTTTTCTGTTTCTCAAAAGTGACCTCTGTTGGCTCCGTATGTGGTCTCTGTGAAGCTTCTTTCTGCACACCTCCTTCCTGCCGCTAAGCGGTAGCTATTGGTGTCTTGCTGTAATTTGTGGTTTCAGAAGAGTTTCTGAGCACAATAGGGAGAATGGGGGTGGGTGGGTGAGTAGAAAAGAATGTATATGTAGTTAAAAACTGGAGAGTATTTTAGCAGTTTCCCTGACGCTCCTTTGTTGTTTTTGGCGTCACCTCCCGGTAATTATAGCTTGGTGTGTAGTGGGAAATCTCAACTTTTGTCAGCAGGCAGCTCACTGTGCTGCCGCTCTCTTATTTACATTTGATGCTTTTGGATCCACGGAGGGCAGGCCAGGCCTGGGCAGCCAGGGGAAAGCCGAAAGCCGTGAGGTCTGAGGTCACGGTGATGCCCTGGGAGTAGGAGAGGGCCTACTGGGGCAGGTTTCAGTCCTAAGAAGGGTCCTTCAAGGAGACTGACAGCTGGTGGTTCTGGGCCACAGCCTGAGACCACTGTGAAGCCCTCCAAGGGGAGGAAGAGGAGGGGAAAAGAAAGGTTTGATTAATAGCTGAAAACATTCTTATTAAGAGCCTCCATCCTTTCATTGTATTGTTTCTGCTTTTATCACTAGTCCTACCAAACCCATAATGTGTTTAATGGACACACAAGAAACCAGTGAAGAGAATTTTATTTAATTTATTTTAAAGATTTTATTTATTTATTTGCCAGAGAGAGAGAGAGCACAAGCAGGGGGAGCAGCAGGCAGATGGAGAGGGAGAAGCAGACTCCCGGCTGAGCAGGGGGAGCCCAATGCGGGGCTCGATCCCCCGGGACTGCAGGATCATGACCTGAGCCGAAGGCAGTCGCTTAACCGACTGAGCCACCCAGGAGCCCCAGTGAAGAGAATTTTAAAGAGAAAGTGGTGTTACCCATAATTTTACAGTTCTTAACATATCAACTGTCAATACCCACCCCCCATTTCCTCCTGGCCTTTGTCATAGTTGTAACAGCCATCCAGAGATATATAATAAAGATTGCCAGTTATATCAGACAGTTTTCATGATGCTATCTATGTGAACTTCGTAATTATGACCTCTAATGGCTCCAGAGGATTCTGCTGGGTTGTTGTGTCCTAATGAATCATTTTTCTGTTTTGAGACATTTAGTTTGTCTCCAGCCCCCATTTAAAAAAAAAATTGCTATTAAAAATAATATTGCAGTGAATATTTTTATCTAGGCAGTTTTTCCTTTGATTTATTCCTCCAAGGTTAAATGTCTAGGAGTATTGCTGGGCAAAAGGCTATGACAGTTTTGAAAGCTTTTGATTCTTATTGCCAAATTGGTATTCAAAAAAAAAAGTTGTGATTAAGTTACAAGGAATTTATGAGTTTATCAGTTTTGCTACAACCTTATCGCCATTGTGTATTTTCATTTTAAAAATAAGTATAAAAGAGTGATGTGAAGGTTCTCTTAATTTTTTACCCATTAGCTTATTCTAAGAATATGATTTGACTTTGCTCAGGAACAAAGTGGCTTATTTTTGCACTCTTTTTCTTTTCTTTTTCTATTTGTGTGTGTGTAAAATGATGCGTTTTTATATTATTCATATTTTTTTCTCCCCTGATATTCACTCTGCCATCTCCTCACTTTTTTCTCCCCTCCCCTAATTATCTTTAGCATTTGGCCCTGCAGACAGATGTTTCCCATTAACCATTCCCAGACATGCTCGGGAGCTCCCTCACTTCTCCACGTGTGTCTACATGCTGGTAGGAAGTGTTAAACAGCACACGTTCCAACTGTAGATCTCTTCACCACCTTGTCCACGCAGATGCAGACGCGATCTGTCAGGGAAGGCGAAGGTGTGCTGCTGGGATGGGCCTTGGGCTCTGGAGGAGATGAGGAGATGGTACTAGATTTGGTTTGACCAGCTCCCCAGCCCCCACCCCAGTCACTCAGCATAGGAGACACAGGATACCTGGCTCTGATCTTTCCCGTTTGTTTCCCCATTGCTGTTTGCACAATACCCCTCACTAGAAGTCGCTGCCTTTGACCTACTTCTTCTACCCCAAGTCCCAGCTCAATTATATTGTGATGGAATTGCTTGCAGGAGCACATCCCACCCTCGGCTCCTCCCTCCCCAGCCCCAGTTATAAGACTGTTCTCGCCATGCTTATTCAGCTACGGGAGTTGGCTCTGAGTACCTATGACCTGAATCACGAGTTACCTTTCGAAATGAATGCATGCTTGCTGCCAGACTTTCCACGAGGCTCAAGGGACCCTATTTACTCTCACCACACTTGCCTCCATTCTCCTTGGTAGATGACTGCCCTGGTAAGGAGTCCGGAGAGGGAAGGGCGAAGTGAAGCTAGATAAGCACTTTCTTCCTGCTCTCTCTGCAAAGAATTCTCCTGTGGAGTACTTTACAAATGTTTAATATAGGAATATGTAATTTAACGTGGCATAAGCCAGTTAGGCGCCCCAACTTACATAGTGTTTTAAGAATACTCTTTTAACTGGGCAGAGCATGAGTATAATTAATTGCTTAGGGAAATCCAAAAGACTTTTTTCCCTGACCCTCCTAATACAGAGAACCACCATCATTTAAATAAAAGTTTTGTTAGGGATCCAAAGCATCAATAAAACTACCATGTAATTGCTTACAATTTTTAAAAATGAGGATTGTTGCTTTGATAACAATGTAGTACCAGAAATGTCCATGGGCTATGTGGGAAATATTAATTGATTTTGCAGAGTTCAGTTTGTACAAATGTGATACTATAACGAGAAATAGACATTTGGTCTTCACCCGTGACTGCTGGCACGGGGCTCCTAAAATCCTGGTAATTTCCTAACTGATAAGAGCTACAGGGACGTCTTCTGTTATATTTAGTGCTTGTTCCCAGTTCCTGAAATAGCACAAAGGTGAAAAGAATGTCTTTTGTTATTCATAGCAAGCCCCTTTCCGCTACACCTGAGTTATGTTAAGGAGGTAATTTTTTGGAAAGCACCTAAGACTGGGGGGCTGGTTGCTTAAAGAATCAAAAGTGTGATTAGAAGGTTGAACTTTACTTTTTAAAGATTTTATTTATTTATTTGACAGAGAGAGACACAGCAAGAGAGGGAACACAAGCAGGGGGAGTGGGAGAGGGAGAAGCAGGCTTCC